GAATGGGACACTAGTGAAGCCTTGGATATACAAAAACATCGATGCTCTCTGTATTAATTTTGACAATGGACAATACCTCAAAACAAAATTTTGGACTTTACTTTTTGTTGTTATTTAACGGTTACAATTTTGTAATTATATTATATGCTGATGATGCCTGTGCCTATAATCCAGCAAAAACTTTAAATAAATTATTTAGTATTGTAAGAACTCATATTGTCTGATGTTTTAAAATAGTTTATATATATATTATTATATATACTCTCGCAAAAGATGTTAATATCTAAATCATATATATATATATATGTATATATATATATATATATATATATATATATATATATATATATATATATATATATATATATATATATATATATATATATATATATATATATATATATATATATATATATATATATATATATGCCTCAGCAGGAATGGCAGTCATCACCCACGCCTGCCTCCACACCTGTGTAAGTCAGTTTATATGGTCAAAATAAAGCCAATGCAAAATAAAATTATTTTTTTATTAAACAGTAAAATTATATTTTTTAGGTTGAATTATATTTTATTTAAACAAAAATAGTAAAAAACATATAGAGCATTTAAAATAAAACATAACTTTAATAAGTATTATACAGATATGCAGTAATAAAAAAAAAGGCAAAAAAAATTTTTAATTCATTAATAAATTTTTAATTCATTAATAAATTTTTTGTCAGCATCATTATTGAAGTATTTTATTTTAATGTTTCAACATAATTACTTTTAAATAAACTTGATAAATTTAAATGACCAGTATAAAAATTTCATTTAAAACTAAATTTAAAAAAACTGTAAAATAAAAAAAAGAATAACAACAACAAAAACCTATAGTTTTTAAAATGCTATTTAAATTTTTAGTTTTATAATTTCGATTAAAAAAATTTGTCTAAGCAAAAATAATAGACACACCTATTTAATAACTTAAATAAAAAAAAGTTTTTATAAATATTTTTCAAAATTTGTTCATTTAAAGTTGAATTATGTAACACAAAAACAATTTTTAAAGTATCGAACTCAATTATTCAATATATATATATATATATATATATATATATATATATATATATATATATATATATATATATATATATATATATATATATATATATATATATATATATATATATGTAATGATGCTATTTCGCGCATGTACTATCAAGAAAGTGCTCTACTATATATATTATAGCTCTGACTTAGTTCGATGAACTAAGTCAGAGCTATAATATATATAGTAGAAAATAAAACTACGTGATTTTCACAATTGAAACTATACAGAAAAAACCTATACGGAAAAACCTTTTTTATTGTTATGACCGCGAATCTAATCTTTAGGTTTGTGGTTGCTTAATAAAAATTTATTTTCGTGACGACACTTGGAAATTAATTCTGTTTTTTTTTTATTAAGTAGCTCTTCAGCATTTTTATAAAGTAAAATGATCAGTTTTTCATATAAACAAAGTAAACATTTTTTGTTATATTGTTGTAGGCGGGGGCTTTTTTTAGGATAGACTAGTAAATTCTGGTGTTTCTTTCAGTTTTTCCCTAGTTTCCCATATGTTTTGAGAGAGTGGTTGCATTTGATAGTTTCTTATTTGCAAATGATTGCTTAAGCAGCTTTACCTAATTTTTGTAGTGTTTCGATTGAATAGTTTATGCAATGGGTTTGAAGGTGGGAAATGTTTATCTATTAATTGCAAAAAGATTTGGCCAACATTGGTGGAGACGCTTATATTGTAGGGTGGGTTAAACCAAATTATATTCCTTTTTCTTTTGGGAGGCGTCATTTTTTGGTTTGTACTTTAAGTAAAAGTTTTTAAAACCGTTTTGTTTAAGTGCTTCTGTGTATTCTGTTTTTGATGCGTTAAATATTTTTTCATTGGAAGAATTTTACGATAGTCGATCATTAATGGAGAAAGGGATTTGCTTAAGAACACGCCGTCATAACAATAAAAAAAGTTTTTTCCGTATAGGTTTTTTCTGTATAGTTTCAATTGTACATAATTTTTAAACGAACTAACTATATTTGTATTTCACCTGATGATTGTAACAGCATTAAACTTAAAGTTGTAAACATTATGTTTGGATTCAATAAGTAAACGCTTTAAAAGTCTAACTTATATTTGATTTATTTTAAAAACAAAATTAATATTAGTGCTATAGATATAAGATATGTCTTAATATCTCAATAAATAAATTGATTTGGTAATTTTAATTAACTCAAAATTTATTTTATAATTTAAATACATACATAGATTTTTTAATAGGCTGGGTGAATAAAAATTGCTATTACTCAGTGTTTTTCGAGACTCAGCTTTACGTAAATAAAGTTTTTAGCTATTTTGCTCAAATTTTTATTCACGTAAAGCTTAGCAATTACTCCAATTTGTCTCGGCACTTGGGAATCCATTTATTATTAAATATATGCGTACAAATAAGAAAAAATTATTTCGACAAATAATGCATCACCTAAGTAAAATATAGCATAAAGTAATTGGTGAACAATACCTTTACTGTTTTAATTATTTAATGACATAAAAAAATATATATATAACTTGAAATTTCCACAAAATTAATATCTTGAATATCTGGAAAAAAGAAATGTGTATAGAAATATCCAGAATTCTGGAAATGTCCGGAAAAATATAACCCCTGTTTTATATACAGAATATTAAATAATGATGTATTGGTTGATGAATTTTAGCAGTAATATTGATAGAGAATATAATTTACTCAAGTAAAGTTCTTAATGCTTCTTTTTAATTTAAAAAGTTGACTGAACAAGGCCGATTTAAAAAAAAAAAAAGTTTAAACCAAAAAAACCATGGTTCTTTTTTAAAAAAAAAACATCTTTTTTTTTAAGTTTAAATTTTGTACTTTTTTTTAAAAAAAATGTTTTTTTTCAAAATCTCATGCTGTTTTCTTCCATTTATTGAGAACAAAAAGACTTCTTTGGGGATTATTAGCGAGTAAGCAACAGAACCAATGCTTCATCATTTCAGCTCAGACTGGCAGAGATACAAGAAACCGCAATCATCCAGAATATACAAAGAGGCTTTTTTTATGTGTTGTAGATTACAACATCAAGCATTGTGTAGAACTCAACTTAAAGAAAAATTTATATTTTGCAAATTTATGCATTTTTTATGTTTAGAAAAAGTTCAGAGAATAACTAAAAGAATTATTTAAGAAAATTTTTAAACTACTTTATCTATTTTGTAAAAAAGTTGTATCAATTGAGTCAAAATAAACCATGTTTTTATTCAATAGGTTAATTGTTATGTTTGGAATAATAAATTATACTCTCAGAGTGTTTCTGAATGCTAAAAAAATGCAAAATTTGATAAGCTGTTATTTTATGCTATTGTGCTAAATGCTAAAAACTTAAAATCAAGATTATTTCTTTGGATGATATAGTTAGATGATCAAGTCAGAAAACATTGTAGTTTCACCCTATTAAAATGGTCAGCTGAAATTAGTTTTTGACCATTTTTTATAACTGAGAATTATTTAAAAAAAAAGGTAATGAACAAAAATAATTATTTCAAAATTTATTTAAATTTCTCTTGTTTTATTTAAACATGATTTTATGTAGCAAAAACATTACATGTATTTTATTTTAAATGTTTATGCAATAATTGGGTCTCAGCGAGACTAGATTAGTGTTTAAAATTGTTTTAATACTTATACATCTTCAAATACCCATTTATAAGATTTTGTACATGTAAGATTTGTAAGATTTTCACATTTTTATATAGTTAAAACATGAAAAATATTGGTATTTATTCATATATAATACAAAAAAACTTGAAGCTAGCTAACCCTAATAAAACAGATGCAGTTGTAAATGGCATGAACTTAACTGCAAATAATAACTTATAATAAATAACTACCTTTGGCATATATTCAAAAATTCAAAAGTTCTTTTTAAAGAGAATAACAAACAATGGCTATAAAATGAACCGATATCAGTTCAATTCGAAATTGATAGTAAGAATATTCTTCTAATTGCTTCCATTGATAAAGAAAGCTCTTATCCTAACTGCAGAATCTGGCAGATCCCAGGAGAGCTTTGATACTTGAAGTAATAGAAAAAAAAAATTAAATTAGTGCAATTAGCTGCATCTTTTTCATCTTCAGAACTACTGTTTGCATCAGGTTGTAGTTTGCACAAAGATGATAAAGAAAAAGAAGCTAAAGCTGTTTTACAATCATCAGAATATACGAGTTTTTGTTTGAAAAATAACTTTAAACCACAATTTTTATATTTCTATATACACAAGAAGGTTTAAGCTTTAGGTTCTTTTTTATACAACTATTGAGTAGTTTCATGAAATATAAAATAGAACCCTGAAAGAAAAACTGCAATAAAAACAACTAAAATTAGGTATGTGTTTAATTTTTTAAATCCATAAAATAATTTTCAATCAGACTGTCACATTAAAATTAGTCTTGTTTATAAATTTTAAAAATTTAAAGAAAGTCACTTAAACTAGTAACTGTTCAAAATGAACCATTGCCAGGCATTTCAGGTGTCACTATCAACCAAATAGAAAATCCTTAGTACGACTATATTTGTAGTATAAAAAATACTCTATGTAGTAATTAGGGGAGTAATACAAATTACTTTTGCCCAATTAATATTTATTATGGTTAATAAATCATGTGGTTGCTAAGAAATTTAGGTATTCATAGCAAATCAAAATTAAAACTTATGTCACCATTAAAATTGCAATTCTCAAATTATTAAACAGTGCAAAAATAGTCCTCAAATTTTTTTTGACAAGTTAATAGTTTTGTCCAGTAAAAATGAACTCTGGCCTACTGTGATATGGTATGAAATAATTCATCATCACTTTACCAAACAAAACCAAATTTAATAAACTGAAACAAAAACATGATAACATTAATAACATAAAATAAAATTTACAAAAAGTTTTTAAGCAACTATTTACCATTGACAATGTATTTTGCGCATAAGTATTTCCTCTAATAATACGTCTATCATACATTATGTTACCATACAAGATTTGTACATCCGGTTCACTAAATCATAAAATTTATACTATTACTACATACTTTACAACAATATCTTAAGCGGTATATTTTTAAGTAGCTGACTAATATACACCATTTTAAAACTCAGAAAACTAAAATTTATTATTTGTAATAATATAATCATTTACTTCAATTTTATATATTTGCTCTAACCTTGTCGTTAAGACATTGATAATTAAAATTAAGTTCAACAGTGGTACCTAACAGACATCTCTTGATGGCTACTTGAATGAGATGAATCAGGATCAATTTAGATATTGTTTGTAGGAAATTTATCTCTGTAAAAGGAATTGTACTTACATGCAAATTTAGATTTGGAACAACAACAACATCAGATTTTGCTACTTTTGACAGCATATATCTGCGCAATAATGCACACTTGTACTTTTAAAACTAATTTTAAAATTTGATATTAATATGTAATGGTGGTAAATGGTAGCTTCCTAGAACAGTTTTTTGCATATCAAATCTTTGCTTTAGTTGTTGTTAACTTTCTATTACTGTTTCCAAAATTTTATCAAAACTTACCTTTGATTGTACTAATATTGGCAATACAAAATGCAAGCATATAATCAACTGTCAAAATTTGACTTTCAAAAGATCTTCGCAAACTTGATGTTACTGTTGTGCTCTATATGCCATCACAAGGAAATTAATGGCTGGTTGTAAAAAATATCCATTCAGCTGTTATCTGGAAATCTTATTTGTGGTGGCGCAGATTTTAAAAATTTTTATAATTTTTATGATGAGCATAACATATATCAGAAAAATAATTTTTTTTTGCAAATGCTGATATTCAGTAATATTTGCGCTAAATTTCTCCGGGACGGAGGTACCGCCGCCCAAATTTTTTTCCTATAATAGCCCCAGTCATGTATCATGATTATTGTCATCGTTTTAATAACAGAACAGTTAATGCTGCAAATTTAATTTAAAAATTTATCTGAAATTTTAATAACTGCATGTAATGTACAGTGTTGTTTATACTAATAATAACTTTATACTAATAATAACTTAGTATTACATCCTGTATTAAAAACTGATAGTTTTTAATAAACTATTTTTAAGCTTTTTTGAACAGGGAGTTTTGCATTTAGCAATTTATAAATGTGAAGTAAGTTGTTAATATTTATAGTTATTTATATTCAAAGGTCTGAGTAATTAACTTGAATCAATTAATACTTTCCCATATATCACACTAACTTTGCTTGTAACACTCCCACTACTTGTAACATGTTTCTCAGTATCTTTGTTTGTAACACTCCATTGGATAGTATTTACAAACAGCATTGAGTTTTAGTTGTAAATACAAACACACAGTGTGTAGTACTTAATCTTACACTGATACACCATATTGGCTGCAAATTACAAAACTTTAAAAATATTATTTTAAAATGAGGCTGTTTAATTTTAAATTTATATTGAATTTAAAATTAAATACTCTTTCATAAAGGTGACATAACAATAATCGTTTTTGTTCATTTTTTCTTTCCAGGCATAACTCTGAAAAATATTTATCTCCTAGAAAAAATCTTGAAGCAAAGCTGAAAGAAAGTATCATTTAAAAAGTCAGACATTTTAACATATTTTAAATATAGTATAACAAGAAACCTATTTTTACTTTTAAGATGCTTACCATGTCCTATGAGATTTTTAAGGCAGTTTTAACTTATGTGATCTCCTGATCTGCATAAACAATATTAATCTACGTAAACAATCTTATCTTTTCATTGACCGTTGGGAGAAAAAAAGATTTTGATTTTTAATTAACCTAACCACTGCTGTGGTCACACCAGACAAAAAAACAAACTATAGATTTAAAAAAAAAAAACAAGACTTGATGTTTGTGACTTGCACTTTGAGATTAGAGAAAGTTAGATTTGGTACTTAGGACAAGCAAGATAAGGGGAAAGGTATATTTTCCTATAAATATACTTGAGCATATTGTTTTGTAAGTATTACAAATTTAAGAACATAAGTGTCATGTTTTAAAATTTATATTATATTTATTATACAAATAATTTAAAGTAAAAAAAGGAGAATGTCTAGTTTAAAAAATCAAAACTACAATTTGTATTTAATAACTTTTTTTTTTTTTTTTTTTTGCTGCCAATTCATTGTAACTTTCAATTGATTATTTATAACTTGTAATTAACATTTTAATATATGCAATTCAATTTTCTTATTTAAGAATTATTAAGAACTATTGAAGAACTTTCGTCATTTAATCTTAATGCGGATATTTAAATTATAACATATTAATATATTAGTATAAACTAATAATAATACTATAATTTTATAAAGAAACATGATTTAACAATTCCAAGCATACAAAATAAAAATTTAGTTTAAAAGATAAATTATATATAAATATAAATTTCAAAAAAATCTTACTGATCATCACGATATTTGCTAGTTTTTTGTTGAACAGGACGAGGACGACTAAAAAATGTATATGGTGCTGATCCATCTCTTTTTTGTAAAAGTGAAGTCATATTAACAAAGAGAAGAAACTACTTTATAAACAGCATAATTTTATTCATATTATCATTTGTATTTACCACTAAAAAAATGTTTGAAACAATAAAAAGTAATTGCTAATAACTTAATACAAATCTGTTATTGTAGACTTTTAAAATAGAGATAGGTAGGGATTTATTACAAAATTAATTTTAGGTTAGGATTTTGAGTTTTTTTAAATACAAGCAGTGTCTTTTAAAAAAATCACAACAATATATATATATATACATATATATATATATATATATATATATATATATATATATATATATATATATATATATATATATATAATATATATATATATATATATATATATATATATATATATATATATATATATATATATATATATATATATATATATATATATATCAAGTTGTTTTTTTATAAATTTAAAAAGAATGAACTTTAAAATAATTTTTTTTTTGATTGATAGACTGCATGCTTAAACCAAACCCTCAGTTGATGTACTGAGGGTTTGGTTTGGACATTCCCTCACTAACAAATAGGTGAAACATGCAAGCACTCCTCACATGTTTCACCTATTTGTCAGTCAATGTAGCAATACTCTTCACATGTTCTACCTATTTGTCAGTAAATGCAGCAACACTCCTTGCATATTTACCTATTTTTAAGTCGATGTATGTAAACAGTAAATATATATATATATTCTTGACTTTCATTTGCGTTATTGCAGTTTTTTATAAAACTCTTAAATTTAATTAGTTTCCTCAATTAAATTTAACGGTCTTGACATAATCTGTACTTTATTCTTCTTAAATTTCAAAGAGTTAAAATCAATTACTAAATTCATCTTCTGTCTTTATATTGACAGGTGTGACTTCACTTTTATAAAGAATAAAATAATAATAGTATAAAAAAGTTATATAAAGAATATAAAGACAGGTCAAATAAATTTAATAATTGAATTAAATAACATAACTAAAGATAGTGAAGACATAAAAATAATAAATATTTATCTTATTTTATCATATACTTTTTTTCTCATAACTGTAATAAAAAAAGACAACTAAAATGAACTTAACAATTAAAAACTATTAAATTTTAGTTCTCAAAGTAAACCAAATAAAAGCTATATTTTATTTAAAATTATGAAGGATTTATTCAAAAATCTGTACATCTTATTTTTATATAGTAATAACTCTTATTCATTACAAATCTTTAAAAGTTATTGTATTCATATAAATATTTGTTCGAAAAATGGACTTTGTAGGAGGGAGACAAAACAGAAAAGATAAAAAATGTTATATTATTAAAATAAAACATAGAAAATGTTATATCATTAAAATAAACTTATGCTATAAATTAAAAATGATTAAAATAAAAATAGTAGCAAAATTTGAAAATCTAAAATAATAAAATAAAATTCACAAGTTGTTTGAATATGGCGCTTTGCTTCCTAGCGACCGAGAACTGTAATTGCCTGAAAATACTCTATTACCGTTTAAACGATTCGTTTCAAAGCGCTAAGAAAAACAGGACAAAACGGTAAAAACAATGTTTCAATAAAACCGATCGAAACAAAATTATATTGTTTTAATTTGTAAAAAAATATATATAAAAAATTTTTTAAAAACAACATTTTATAAAAATGGATTAAAAAGTAAAAAATAAACTTTTTCACAGGACCCAAGGACTTTGTGTACGTACATATTAGAATCAACATTTGTTGAAATTTTCTCTAAAAAATCTAATATTATTGTTGGTTGCATTTATAAACACCCTTGCATGGATATAAACGATGTTACAATTATCATGTCTGTCTTACTTCAAAAAATAAATGTTGAAAATAAATCGTTTTTCCTACTAGGTGATTATAATATTGATATGATACAATCAAATAATGATACTACAACGTCTGATTTTTTAAACACACTTTTTTTATATAATATTTGCCTTTTTATCACTTTGCCAACCAGAATTACTAACCACTCTGCTACAATCATTGACAATATTTTTTCTAATTTAATAACTAAAGAAATTATTTCAGGGAATTTGACAACTTCAACTTACCTCAATTTTGTCCTAATTTTAACAAGTTATTTATACCACGCAATCACAATTTATACCGCAGAAATTTTAAAAACTTCAATAAAATAAACTTCAAATCAGATTTATTAATTGGGATAATCTTAAAGAGAACAGTGATGTTAATTCTTGATTCCAAACGTTTATTTCTAAAACAACCTTCATTTTGAATCGCTACGCCCCACTTAAAAAAATTAGGATTATGAACTTCTAGCGTTGATTTAAACCTTGGGATTCTTAAAATCGATTCAAATACGCAATCTTTTTTAAAAAAATGTTTGATCAAAAGATATTAGGAACATAACCACATTTAAAACTACTTTCAAACAATATAAATACATGATAATTACCTTACATAAACTTAGTAAAAAAATACATTTTGTGTTTTACAGAAAATGTAAAAAATCATCGCGAAATTCGGAAAGGAATTAATAATTTAATAAATGTCTAATCACTTATCTCCCAACTGTTTACAAGATAATGAAACTATACTATAAAATATAACTGAACCAAATCTTATCTCTGTAGAGTTTAACACTTTTTTTACAAACATCGTACAAAAACTTAAATCCAATATTCATTCGTCTTACATAAACTATACAAAATATCTTAAATATCCAAATTTACAAAGTTTACTCTTATCTCCAACAATTACTCCTGAAGTTTTATCTCTTATATCTAATTTAAAGCCGAGAAAATCAATAGGCCAAAATAGCAGTCCTAAAAACCTTCTTTTTGATTTTAATCATGAACTTTCAAATATTCTTTCTAAACTATTAAGTATATTATTCATAAATGGGACTTTTCCGAATGTTTTAAAATTATCTTGTGTTATTCCAATATTTGAAAACGGCTCTAAACTTTTATGTACTAACCACAGATCTATTTCTCTTTTATCTAACACTAGTAAACTTCTTGAAAAACTTATGTATTCTAGAGTGAACTCTTTTCTTAAGTCTTTTAACTGTTTAAATGAACTTCAATTTGGTTTTTGTTCCAAACATTCTACCTGCCATGCAAAAAATCAGGAAAGCTCTCGACACTGGTTATTTTGTTTGTGTATTTTTATAGATATACAAAGCGCTTTTGATACCGTTTATCATAACATTTTGATTTTTAAATTAGAACACTATGGTATTTGTGGTGTTGTAAGTGGTTTCAATCTTATCTTACAGATCGGAAACAAATTGTATTAATGGTTATAATTCTACTAACTTATTTTAAAGGTTTTTTAGCTTTTGGTTTAACATACGCTCATAAAATTGTTTATGTTTAGAACGAGTTTTTTAGTAATATTTTCTGAAAATTCGGGTTACCTTATTTTCAATTTTTTGATGTTAATTTGATGTAAATATTATAAAGGCTGCAATATAAAATATCGCGATGTTTTTTTTATGTGGTAAAGTAAAATTTTCTAATCTTTGAGTGTCGTATCTACTAATAATGCACTTGAAAAATTCTTTTGAAAAATGTAATAGTACCAGTTAACATTTTAGCATGTACAAAAAATTTTATTTAATGTTAATTTTATGGGGGCAGGAAAAAAACTCGCTGGGAAAAAATTCCCCGGTATAAATTCCTTCGGAAAAAATCAGCCCAAAAAATATATATATTTTTTTTTTTACAGCGCATATTAATAAAATAGTTGTTAATAATATATTTCACGGCGTTAATCTTTGTTCCAAAAGTCTCCCGAGTGCCAGTTTGCGCGTGATTTCAAACTCGCAGTCATAGTAAGTGGAAAACATGTGAAAATAACTATAAAATTTTAATAGACCAGTCATATCAAAAGTTTTCTGCAAATTATTTCAATTGGTACAGACATTTTGCGCTAAACTTGATTTGATTTATAAGAAAACAAGCTAGTGGATCACTGTATACCTCATCCTACCATGGATCATTTTATGTATGTTTCCATGTTTGTCCGCAAAATAGTTATAAAGTTAAAAGCTGAGCTGCACTGTGCTAACTCCATCCCAGAAATCTGTATCCTCTGACTCCCGGCCTCAGAATTAGTGTTCGGAAATTTTCATGCGTCCACAATCGCAGTGCCTTGAATCATTTTTCAAGAGTCATCCGGTTCAACCAAAAGAGGATGGGGAAAATTTACTATTTTCAAATGTTCGTCGAGTGTTTTATAGAAGCCAAGACGATATCAATAGGGTTTGGCTTTCTTACTGTCACAGTTCGAAGGCCATGTTTTGCACAGTGTGTCTGGCCTACAGCAAAGCTAGTGAATCCAATGCATTTACTGATGGCATGAATGATTGGAAGCATGTTCACCAACGAATCGAAGAACACGAATCGAGTAAACACCATTGCAGGAGTGTAGAGGCACACATTATGTCGAGCAATGACAAGGACGTATATAGCTTGCTTTTTTCAAATCAAAAAAATGTGAGAGCTGCTCAAGTTAAAGAAAAACGGCAAGTTCTAGAACGTGTGATAGAAATTGTTAAACTTATTGGAAAGCGAGGACTTAGTTACAGATCTATCAATGACGCAACCTACTGTCTGGACAATGTCAATATTGACCACGGGAACTTTTTAGAAATTTTAATCCTTCTGTCTAAATTTGACCCGCTTATGAAAAATCATCTTGACATCGTGACGGAGAAAAGTAAGCAACGACATGTCACGTGCACAGCATCAGGAACGAAGGGACGAGGAGGGTTAGTAACATTTATTTCAAGCACTACTGTCAATTATGCAATTGAATCTGTTCGCCGTATGATTAAGGCATCGATTGCAGATGAGATTCAATCGGCAGGAATGTTCTCCGTGCAACTGGACACAACGCAAGATGTTAGCGTAAAGGATCAATGCTCGATTGTAATCCGATATGTTAAATACCATATTTACGAGCAACTGGTATCCGTCAGCAATTGTACTAATTCGACAGGAAAGGGTATGTTCGAGCTGTTCCGGGATGAAATTGTCAAAATGGGCATAAACATTGAAAACTGTGTGGGAAACTCTACAGACGGGGTGGCAAACATGCAGGGCCAATATTCCGGTTTCACAAAATGGCTCAGTGAGGCATCCCCAAACCAAGTGCATGTGTGGTGTTACGTTCATGTATTGAATCTTGTTCTTGTTGATACCACACAAACCACCAAAGCTGCTATCAGTATATTTCAGCTTATAAACAAATGTGCTGTTTTCTTGCGCGAATCATATATACGTAAGGGCGTCACAACAATCAAACAATAGAAGGCTAAATGTAATTGGCGAGACACGCTGGTGGGCAAAGGACCATGCATTAAAAAAAATATTTGGAAGTTTCAACAACCCATCGACGTCCTTGTATATTGAGCTAATTGAAACTTTACAAGAGTTAGCCTCCTCTGAAGACTTTAACCCAACTGTTCGCGACACCGCCCAAACCCTATTAGATAAGTACATCTCATTTGAAACAATTCTTACCGTTCAAGTTTTTTTGCGTATATTCCAACACACAGCATCACTTTCCAAGTACCTGCAGACAAGTGGGATGGACGTGCTCCAAGCCTACCGAAAGGTTGACTGCACTATCAAGGCACTGCGAGACGTGTCCAGAGACATTGATAGCATTAATGCGAGCGCTAAAAAATTTGTCGAGTGGGCCAACAACTCATTGGAAGATCTGAAAATTGAAGTGACGGTTGAAGCTGCATCCAGAGAAACGAGTTCGCGTCCCAAAAGCAATGAGTGGTGAGCGACGCACTCACGAGGCTGTCGAAGATCGCGCAATTGATTGCTACAGGATAACGGTACACAACTGCGTTATGGACAAAGTAGTGAAAACTTTGGAAGAACGCTTTAAAGCATGACACGCCATGTCAGCAAGACACGTTGTTCGCTGACATGGCGTGCTTGAATCCGGAAAATTTCTACGATATCAAGAAAAACGGTATCCAACCTACTGCCTTAGTACGTCTCAGCAGCATTCTAACAAAATTTAATAAAGATGCAACAGCTTCAAATTTACAATCCGAACTTATCGACTTTTCGCTCAAGTGGAGCAAATTTAAGAAGACCGTTCCTGAAGAGTATTTGGGCATGAACTTAGCGGAAAACCGAAACGACAACGATGAATTGGAGAACGACGAGGAAACTGCAGTTTCTTCTTCATTCTCTAAAGACAAAGAAGCTCATGGTAAATGCAAGAGTTGCAAAAATTGCCCCGTCTGTTGCTTCACGGTTTTACACAAATACAATTTCTACAGCAAAGCCTACACCCATTTGTACAATGCTTATAAGCTCTTGCTGACTTTATCGTCTACTCAAGTTGCGTGTGAACGGTCCTTTTCCAAATTAAAATACATTAAAAATAGACTGCGAAGTTCAATGTCGTCCACGCATTTAGAAGCTTTCATGCTGATGTCTGTCGAAGTAGATGTTATGGGTGGGCTGTCCAACGAAGACATCATCGACTTGGTTGCAGAAATCGCACCTGGGCTAAAAACACATCTGGTCCTTTGATCCACTACCATCCACATTCGGTAAGTTTCGATAATATGGCGTCAGAAACATTATGTTATTACGGACGTTACCAAATCATAATTGATGGGTTATTTTTTTTGTTAATATCGAGTGCAACACATTATAACCACAGAATTCTGGAGTATACCTTTTATGATTGCAAAACAGATTCTATTGGTCGAATGCAGTTTTGCACGAACTATACCATGTATAAGGTACGTGCTATAAATATTACTGTTAAAGCATCAAAGTCGATTATCAGATGTTTTTGTGCAACTTAGTCAAATAATTGTTTTGTAGTAGAGCAGAGAGCTTGCACATTATAGTATAGTTGTGACTTTTCGAGCGATATTTTCGACTACCTATTAAAACATATTGAAACTTCTATATTATACCTGTATGGTAAATGGTAGCTATATACCTATATAGATATATATAAATATATATTATGCAAGAATAAAAATGTGAAGCAGTCTACAATTTGTAGGCCTTAAAAATGTCGCCGTAATTTTACCTAACTCCTGAACATGATACGAATTATTTTGCTGCTGCTATGCAAGTCGGAAATTCCCAGCTAAACCCCCCTCATCCTCCCCCGCCCCTTAATGACTTAGTATTGCTGTATGTGGGCCGGACCGCTTGGTTCACAGTCCCGGGCCGCTTGACCACCCCCAGTACAGCCCTGTATATATATATATATATATATATATATATATATATATATATATATATATATATATATATATATATATATATATATAGATATATATATATATATATATATATATATATATATATATATATATATATATATATATATATATATATATATATATATATATATATATATATATATAAACGTGGGTGTATATAATATATACACCTATTTGAAACTTATCACACGTACATATATAATATATGTAAATATTAAAGATGATTTCTTTATACTATCATTTATAATAATGTATATTTTAAAGAGTGCTCAATAGATAAACTAGAGCTATATAGTATATATATTACTGTATATACTGCGGGTAACAGTAATATATATACTATATATATATATATATATATATATATATATATATATATATATATATATATATATATATATATATATATATATATATATATATATATATATATATATACTATATATATATATATATACTAAATATATATATATATATATATATATATATATATATATACATATATATATATATATATATATATATATATACATATATATATATATATATATATATATATATATATATATATATATATATATATATATATATATATATATATATATATATATATATATATATATATTTCATAATGCTTTTGACAAAAGCATTATGAAATGCTGAATTTTTTAGTGAAATGAATATTCTATCAAAAGCTTAAGTTAAAGAGGCTATGATAATTAGTTCACACAAATAGTTCTTCATACAGATGGCACAAAATACAATTTTAAGGAGGTTGGTAGTTTTCAAGTAACAATATCATCTGGTAGCTACACATTAGGGATAGAAGATATGTTTTTGGGCGAGGCACATTCTTATTTTGGTGAGCTAAAAAATTTACTCACTGATATGGATCAGTTATTTTCTCCTGAAAATGACAGCTACAAGAATGATCTTAAAAAGCTTATTTTTTCCTTCAAATCTTTGATGACAGATTGCACTGTTGCTAATTTTAGTTTTTTTCACCAATTTAAACATTGGAGAGAAACAATTTTGCCTTTTGTTGTTGAAAACTATGATCAGTTTTCTTTAAATGAAAAAATAAAAAAAAATTTAAATACATCATGTTTTTTGTGGTTTACATGTTATCCACAATATAGGGGTATATGCTGAAAAAGCAATCAGGGAATGGGAAAAAGTGGTTGAGGAGGAAGGCGGAATTCGGTTTTGGTTTGGAGAATGGTGGTTTTAAAAATTCTCCAAACTCACATACCTTTGACATTTTGTATGAACTTTCAAAACTTACAAGCTATAAACATCGTGATCACCGTAAAAGGTTTTTAAAAAACTACATTGTTTCATTCCTGCATCATTTTTCAGGATGATCATTAATGTTGGTTAGAAACGGTAAAAAGCTGAGGATAGAAGTTCACCTTCTTAGTTAAGTATTGACACTAGAATGAATTTGCAGCGTTTAGTGCCACAGGTTATCTGTGTTTTGTAATTCTGATGTTATTGTTGTGATGTTTTGTGTTGATAGACAACTTGGCTTACCTTCTCGCTGGTGTCTATCGTTAAAAATGATTATTAGGTTGTTTTGTTACTTAAACTCTCTACCTCTAATCATTCACTAAAAGCCAAGAGATAAGTTTTAGAATAACAACATTTTTTGTTTTAATGTTGTTTTCACTTTTTTATCTTAGATGTTGTCAATAGTTCACATAAACATCATTTCAAAGAGTAAGCTTCTTATTTTTTATTTATTTAGTTTCAATTGTTAATTTATAAATTTTTTTAATTTTAAAACCAATTAACAAATATTTTTTAAAATTGTGTATCTGTGTGTTTTAATAATAATTTTATTACAATTTTAGGTTGAGTTTCTGCTGTTACACCTGCTATTGCTGTTGTAAGTACTCAAAGTTTTAGGAAGTTATATTGCTGTAAGTTATTTTCATTCAAATCCAAATTTCAACTTTATTAAAGAATCTTTTGTCTAGTAAATAGGTAATTCTGAATGATTTAAATATATTTCAATGCCCATACTAACTTACTAATTGTAAGTTAAGTAGTAGTTTTAAACAGATAAATTGGATTTTACGATCCTTTATGCATATTTGCATAGAGTTTTATAATATGACCCAAATTTTTTCTAAAAAACTAGGTAAATAAGTAAAAACACTTCAGTCTGTAAAATTAACAATTCTGGATAATTTCGACAGATGCAAAAAAAATTATGGCATTTAATTTTCTTATAGTTTTGTATTCCTATCAAAAATTTCAAGTCAAATGTAATAACAGTTGGAAATTATCAAATATTTTTAAAGTCAAATAGGTTTGTGCAACATAGATTTGTCCAATAGGTTGGTGCAACCCTTTTGTAGTAGTTTACTGACGGGTCTGTAAATTATGCAATAATTTCAAATTGAGGTATTTTTCAAATTCCACGATTCCTTTATGAATATTTGCATATTGTAACCTTAATTTTTGTTGTTCATTACATAATTAAGTAAGTAAAAACACTTCAGTCTGTAAAATAAATGATTCTGTATGATCTCAATAGATTCAATAAAAACTGGATCACTATTTAAAATTTCAAGTCAAATGTAATAACGTTTCAAAAATATCAAATATATTTAAGGTCAATATGCCTAATTGGTGTGTACATCTATTTACTATAATTTACTGAATGGTCTGTAATTTATGCAATAAATTTACTGATAGGTCTGTAAATTAGGCAATAGTTTTCAAATGATGTATTTTTTGGATTCCATGATTCCTTTATGCATATTTGCATAGTGCAACCCTAATTTTTTTCTTCTTAACACAAATAAGTAGAAACCTTACAATCTGTAAAATAAACAATTCTGGATAATCCCGACAGATTTAATAAAAACTGGATCACTATTTAAAATTTTAAGTCAAATGTAATAATGGTGCAAAAATATCAAAAATTAAAAAAAAAATTACAAACTATTTAAAGTTGATATGTTTAAATTGTTTGAACAGCCCATTTTCAGCAATTTACTGACCGAACAGTAATTTATGTGATTATTTTACTGACCAGTCTGTAAATTAAGCAGTTGTTTTCAAATTATGTATTTTTTGGATCCCATGATTCCTTTATGCATATTTGCATGGTATAATTATAATATGACCCCAAATTTTATTCTCCAAAAAAAAGAAAATAATATAAAAACCCTTTAGACTGTAAAATAGATGATTCTGGACAATGGCAACACATTTTTTAAAATAAAATTTTGGTTTTTTATTTTCTTGTAGTTCTTCGATCACTATGAAAAATTTCAAGTCAAATGTTCTATCAGTTCAAAAGTTATTCAAAAGTCAGTATGACCTCAAAAACATAAATTAGTAAAAACTGTCGGTCTGGAAAATAGATGATTCTAGTCAATCCCGACAGATTTAAAAAAAAAATCTTTTGGATTTTTACTTCCTTATAGTTGGTTGGTCACTATGAAAAATTTCAAGTCAAATGTATTATCGGTTCAAAAGTTATTCAAATGTCAATAATACTCTCATTTTCGGTACCATTTCGCAGGAAATTTTCCATACTTAAGCCCTATACCTTTTGTCAAAAAATCACCAGTTTTTTCACTACAAAAAGTTCAATAACTTTTGATCCGCTTAACTTCAAAGGTCAAATGACCCCTCATTTTTTAAGTCAAACTAAGCTCTATACAATGGCATCAATTATATTTGAATATTAAATTTATAAAAAAATCGTGTGGACATGCTACTTTTGTACTTATTTAAGTGAAATGTAAATATATTTTTGTGAAAATTATATTGAGATAAAATTAGATACTCTGCTTTGGTCAGTTTTATGGTATTTCTTACTTATAATTTTTTGTTTTGTTTGTCAATATTTCATCTGCATAAGCTGATTTTATTATATTTTATTACATATATTTTATGAAAAGTTTTCATTTTATATGATATAAACTAAAAACTTTTCTTTTTTAGAATGTTTTAATGACAATGATGAGGATTCTTAAAGGTAAACTAATTTTTTTAATTTTAGATATGTTTTGATGATGTTTGATGTCTATATTCATATATATGTCTATATTCATATATATGTCTATATTTAATTATGTAAATATGTTTCTATTTTTGACCACAATCAGTAAAGTAGAATAGTTTTTCATCAGTTGTAATGACTTTTTTCCAGTTTATCTTAATAAATCCATAAATTTTTTCTGATTTTGTAAACCTTCTCTCGATTGCTGTGATAATGCACGTAAACATCCTTTTGTAACTTTTTTTTAAAAGTGAACATTTTATCAATGTAACATTTAATTGACTTTCTCGATATCTTAAACTTTTACTTCTAGATAACTCAGAAATAATTGGTGGTTTGTCTTTTTATTAATAAGTTTTTCATCTGAAGAAATTAACATAAATTTAGCTTTAATGGTCAATGCCAGCGCTCAACTTTTTTGCCATTTAAATCATCTTTTAATTCTCACCACGTTTATTTAACTCTACTAATGGTGGTTATTAAAACTTTGATTGATTCCTTTTCTAAAAATTTCTTAATCGTTCTATATGAATATCCAAGTTTTAGCAACAATAAAATACATTCTTTTGTATTTTTTTGATTTTTTTTTTTGTCAAAATGCTTTGTTTACATAAATCTTTTTTTTTCGCTAACTACTTTAAACATGTGATTAAATTATAAGTAATATCATTAAATATTGTTTAAACATAAAGTAGTCAGGTTTCAAAAGTGTTTCTATTTCAATGTCACAAGACTGTATATGAATTACATCATAATCTCTCTCTCTCTTTCTCTCTCTCTCTCTATGTATATATATGTATATATATATATATATATATATATATATATATATATATATATATATATATATATATATATATATATATATATATATATATATATATATATATAGTATATATATATATATATATATATATATATATATATATATATATATATATATATATATATATATGTATATATATATATATATATTGTGTGTGTGTGTGTGTGTGTGTGTGTGTGTGTGTGTGTGTGTGTGTGTGTGTGTGTGTGTCTATTATAAAATATTTATATCATTTTTGTTTTCATATTTGTTTATATTTAGATAATAAAACACTCAAAGGTGTAAGAGTTAATTATGAGTATTATAGTTAATCATTAAGTTCATTATTTATATTTAGAACAAAGAGAAAAGAAAAATATTTTTTTTCAAAATTATAAGACTTTTTATACTTTTTAAATATATTTTATTATAGTCTATCAAGGTAGATATTCTGTCATTACACATTCTTAAAGACTTATTTACCTTAAAAACAAAAAACTAAGTATACACTACACTGTTAAAAATTCTTTTTGCAAAAAAAAAAAAAGGATCCAAGATAGGTATTGTACTTTGGTTTTTAACAATTTTTAACTTAAGCTTAAACAAAAAAAATCTTTTTTCAAAAATGGTAAAAGGTTTTTCATTGATTATATATTTATTTTATTAGTGATGACAATGGACCAGATAAATAAAAATTATTTCATTTATAAATTTTTAATTTTCTGTTATATTATAGTTATGTTTTGTAATTTTTTTAGCTTGCTAAAGGTTAGGCATAAGTAAGTATCTTTATTAATAAATTTTAATTTTGATTTTTGAAATGGTTTTATATTAAATAAAAATAATAATTTTATAAGTTTTCATTATAGAAAAGAAAATTTGGGTTTTATTGTTAAATTGTTGAGTTATTTTGGTTGTAAATTTAGTAATTAGTTATTGGAATTTGATTTTAAAGAAGTTGTAAAGATTTTTATTTATTTAAAAAAAATGGCGCCAACAATGGCATTAACCAATCTCAGTTTGTTTGAAAAACAAACTGAGATTGGTTATATTCCACTTCAAATCTCTATTTGTATCATACTTCAATTTAAGTTTTTATTTCTTGTAGGTATTTATTTATTGCTCAAAAGAGTTTTTAACTTTATCCAGAGTTGTTTGTTGCTTGGCCTTAGTTAAATCACTCATATTGAGTAATAACTTTAAGGTAAACATTGCACATAATGAGTGTTTTTTATAATTTATTACTTTATTAAATATTAAAATCTTTTCTTACTCAAAAACTTTATTTTTTTGTTTTTATTTTAGATTTAGAGTTGACTCAAAATGGAAAAGAAAGGAAAGACTGTATTTTTGTGTATTTGGATTGATTTTGATTTACTTATATTTATATTTGTTATTTAACCAATATATATTACTTAAAGATAAGTTTTTAAGTATATCTAAATTGTAAGTGTATATAGGAATATGTAATATAATTATATTATTATGTGCTTGTATATACTTTATCAAAATTGTTAATAATTTTTTAGAAAGTGTTTATTACTATACTAATTTTTTATTTATTTTTGTATTTGCTGTTGAAGTGAAATGTAAATCATTGAAATTTTAATATTTTTTATGTAAATCAAAGAAAGTTTGTTTTCAGAAAATATTTTCAAAAACATGCGATTGATTTTATATATATAAGATTTGCTAAATTTTATTTACGGATACTATCCGGCAGCTGAGTTGCCTTTCCGTTGTTTAACGGAAAAAACTTATTTAATTTAAACGGAAGTACCCGTTTATTTACGGTAAAGTTCCGGCAGCTGCCGATGACCAAACTACCCTTTGTTTAACGATTGTATTTTAACGGAAAATATCTGTTTGTTTACAGAAACTTCCGTTTACATACGATGGGTTTTTCCGTAAAATAACGGGTAGTTTGGTCATCGGCAGCTGCCGGAACTTTTCCGTAAAAAACGCGCTATTTTTTTAATAGTGTAAGTATTAGAATTAACTGTATTTTTATCCATTATTGAATTTAATGATGGATTTATTAGAATGGAATCTATTTTTGGGCACGCCAGTATAATCTTGACCTCTATGACCCAGTATAATTAGGATTCCGGCAGCTGCCGATGACCAAACTACCCTTTGTATTTTAACCAGTATAATTAGGGTTATGTTGTATACTAGAGATAAGATTTTTATTCAATGATTTTATCACCTTGAGACGTTTTATGTTTATTTTAAAGAAGTTGATGCGCTTTTCTTTATATATTAAATATAAAATATTTAATATATAAATATAATAATTATAATCTGAAAGTTTGAATAGATTGCAAAATATTTATGCACCTTCAACGGCCATCTCACTCTATAAAATCAAAAGAATATCCATAGCTTCTAAGTCTATAAAATCAAAAGAATATCCATAGCTTTTATAGATAGGGGAAGACAAAGCAAGATATCAAACGTTTTGAAAATCTTGGGTTTTTGCAAATCTTAGAGCAGTATGCAATTTTGTCAGTATGCTTGTTTTATCATAATGATTCATTGTTTCCATAATTTTTGAGTTTGCAAGTAAAAAAACTTGTAAAAAAAAAAACTTGCCATCAGTCATCGGAAAACGATAATAGAGCAAAATAAATTTGCGTAAAAAAAAAAACGTCAAAATTACTCCCATAAAATACCACACATTAGCATTTACCCTAACCGCAATTTTGATTTTAAAGCGTGAAAAACAAAATCTTACGAGTGTAAAAATATATGAAAAATATTTAAAAAAATAAAAACCTGTATTTTAAGACACAAGCTATTTATACAGATTTGTTTCCACTTATTTAAATTTTTTTTAACCCATTTCGGCTTGGTCTTTTTTTTTTTCAAAACTATTGTTGCATAAGTAACAGATTTTTAACGGTACCATACCTAATGATACGAAGCATATTACCAGAATCTTTTGTTTTTTCCAAATAAATTTTTTTTAGTCTTTAAAAATTCCTGGACCTAATAATATAGCAATTTTTTTAAATATAAACCATTTACAATGTTAAAGGCTGATTTTTTAAAAAAATTTTGGTTTTATTAAGGTGCTCTCAGAAGTCCTCACTGTCTTATCATCAGAAGTCCTTGGCATCAAACTTCTAATGATAAGACAGTTAAAAGGTTATTGAAAAGAGCTGTTTTTACCATGAATCAAACAAAACAAAACAAAAATAACCTAGATCTAAAGATAAATCAATAAAGTGATAATAATTGCTAATATGGTTCCGCTCTACTCTAGGTATATATATATATATATATATATATATATATATATATATATATATATATATATATATACCTAGAGTAGAGCGGAACCATATTAGCAATTATTATCACTTTATTGATTTATCTTTAGATCTAGATTATTATTTTTTTTGTTTTGTTTGATTCATATATATATACATACAAGGCCGGCGCGATAGGGGGGTGTGGGGGTGTGTGACACCCCCTTCCCCCCCCCCCCCCCATCAATGATTTTTAGTCGGCAAACTGGACCCTTAGTCGGCAAATTAGACCCTTTTAGACTAGTTAGTCGGCAAATTTTTTTTAGTCGCCAAAAGTTGTAATGTCACCCCCCCCCCCACGTGACACCTACTCGCGCCGGCCCTGTATATATATATAATTTTGACTTTTTTGATTTTCTAGTTTTATAAACTACAGAAGCATCTTTTGTATTTGATTTTGAATCAAATAATTGATTTTATGTATATTTAAAGTTTGATGGAACTATGCCTCTCTTCTTTAATATACAAATAGTTACCTCCCCAAAAAAACAAGTTTTTAAACAATCAAAACTTACTAAAAGACATAAACCAAACACTACTCTGCATTATCAAGACTTATATTAAAAGCTCCAAGTCCATTTTTTTCGCTTCGAAATTATTAAAAGAGAAGATAGAACTGTTTTATCAAGTTACTTCAACTAAAAAATTAATGATTTAGTTTAAGAATTAATAAAAAAACGAATACAGTCGTTATACAAGGGAAAAAACAGAAGGGTTCAAAAAAAAACTTCAAAAGATAGTCTAAAATGAAAGTTATTGCACATGACCTGGAAATATAACTTTAATTGCAAAAAAAAGATTACTTTTGCAAAAAGATTACTTTTACAAAAAACCTTACAAGTTTACACTTTTTTTCTAAAAATTAAAAGGTTACATAGAATTTAAAGTTTAATATTGAATTTTCTCAACATGAAAAAATGTGACCCTGCGGTTTCTTCCTGTGAAGTCTTCATATTATGTTACAAGCAAAACCTTAATTCTTCATTTTTCACACATCGAATAATAAATAGGTTGAACATGCGAGGAGTGTACATACTTCGACTGATAAATAAGTAAAACATACATAGAGTGTACATACGTTGAATGACAAATAGGTAGAACATACATAGAGTGTACATACTTCAACTAATAAATAGGTAGAACATGCAAGAAGTGTCGCTATATTGACTAAAGGTTTTAGTTTGGTTTTTGCTTTAACGCCATAGTCAACATAAACTCATAAATTTTAAAAATTTTTGAAATGTGAAGTTTTGAACTGTCACTGAAATAATTTAATAAGTTCAAAAGACAAATAAGTTTTAAGTTCAGCTATTAATTTAGCAAGAAATACATAAACAGAAATAGTGATGCATGCAATCATGATGCATGCAATCACTGATAACACAATAACATGTATTTTTAAGTATCTCATTGAGTTTATAGTAAACAGCAAAAGGATGCAAAGTTGTTTGGATGTTTTCCCAGTAAAACCCTTGAACAGCATCTTGCACAACAAACAAATAGTTTTCAGAAAAATCCATCAAAATGATCAACTCATTTGAATTCAACTCATTTTTCAATAATCGCAAATAGTTGTTTTGGTTTTTGACAATAAAATGATGCTAAGATAAAACAGATACTTTTGAAATTATTTTATCTATGAAGTCATTTACTGGTAATTGCAAAGATTCTAAAGTTTCACCATCTACTTTTATCTATTGCTTAAATGTTATAGTCTCATCAGATTTAAAGTCTTTAAAATGCTCTTCAAGATAAGCATTTAAAATTTCAGTCCATGGACATTTATTGCAACAATGAAGCATACATAATTTGGATTCAATATCACAAACTATTTTTTCAATCAGACATTTATTGTCTACCGTAACAGGGCAACTTGCAAGCATTATTTTTATATTTTGGTACATATACAAATACGATGAATACCTGACGATCTAACAGTTATACACCATTTTGTACATAACTCACAGAATTTAGAAAATCTAACTTCAGCTCCATTTTCTTTTTCATACTTCAGAAAAAGTTCCTTTAAATCAACTAAGAATATTTTTTTTTGCATGTGTACTTTTTTGCACCAATGCGCACAGATACAAAATCCTTTTTCCCCGGACATGTTCTGCTAATAGCTTCGTGTTCGTAAAATTGCAAAATTTTTTCTTTAACATGTTCTGGCAATTTTTTTCTGGAAGTGCTAAGATTCCACTTTTCGCCTTCAACTTTTTTGCTCCTTTACCTATTCTCTCTGATACTTTAAATTCACTACATATTTTTATTCTTGACCAAATGTATGGAATCAGAGTTAAAATTTGATTTTTCACGTGGATTATTGGTTGTTGATATTTTATCCTTCAGTTCTAATATCAAATCTGACCAGTCAATGCAATTCTCACACTCTACACTTGCACTGGCATACTAATATCAAATCTGACCAGTCAATGCAATTCTCATACTCTACACATAACTAGCATGATCTCTCTTACTAACACGTTTTCTTAAAGGTGATATTCCAATCTCAGAAAGGCTAGTATTAATAGTGCCAGTTGAACAAAATATATCATCTAATTTAAAATAACTCTTATTCTAACTTCAATTCTAATTTTCGTCTTCAGATATTAGATGTTTTAGATAAACTTAAATATTTGAAATTAATTTAGAGATTTGTCCGTAGAATAAAAATATACTTACTAAAATTAGCTCTACACGGCTATAGTTAATTTACGGACCTTAATATTGTTTTTAAAATGTCAAAGACTTTGCGGACCTAACTTAGCTTATAAGAACTGGATTTTTTTAGTTTATAGGAAAAATCTCTCCAAAATGATTTTCATTATTTTTAGAAGTGTGAAGTAAGCTATTCCAACAATACAATTAAAAAAAACAAAAAAAATTTGCCCACATTGAGTTTTAGGGCTTCAAACACACGTTATTTTAGGGTATTTCACTTTTTTTCGCTATATTGCTTTCAAAATAACTCAGAAAAGACGTTTGTAAAAAAGCTGATTTTTAATCCATATCATTATGATAGTATGTAGAAACTTTACACAAAATAAAAATACTAAAAAATTTTTTGTCCTAAAGATATGACCCTACAAAAAACAGAAAAAATTTATGGTGTTGAATTTGTGACGGTATTTGGTGAACCATAAACTAAAATGTAGGCATAACATGAAACTTGCATAAATTTTTTTGTAATCTCCACCATCGGTTTACTAAGAAATCACGTTTTTAAGATATATTACCTGTTCATTACGAAAATATAAGACCCTAAAAATACAGTTTTTAGCTGACTGATATTGAAATTTGGGTAAGCCTTACAAAAAGTACCACAAAACCTGAAATAATAAACATTTTGATCTAAAAATTTAGCAATGTTCATGAAACATGTTTAACAACATACTGACAAAATTTTGTTAAAATCGGAAATGGTCAAGCGGGGAAGATTTCGGAAATTGGACCATTTGGCGTGGAATGACCCACTGTAACCCCCAAATCACTCTCTTTTGTTGTGGTTTCGAGTTGTTTGCGTTGACCATTTTGTAATTCCATTGTATATAAATTGCTCATGTGCATAATTTGCTTTTTTTTATTTTAAATGGCATGAGCCATTTTTTAGATCGGTTAACAGCTGAGTCAAGATCTTTTTGTAGACATAGTGCATCTTTATCAGTCTTGATAACAACTACGAGCTTGCTGTCGTTTGCATACATTTTTATATGCCTCAAAACTAAGTCGGGTAAATCGTTAATGTAAAGCACAAAAAGGAGATGTCTTAAAACCGAAACCTGAGGTACTTCGCTAAATACATTTTCCCATGGAGATAGAGTATTACCTATTTTGACACGTTGTTTTCTATTGGTCAACAAATTTTCAATCCAGTTACGTAACTGACCGCGAATGTAATGAGCCTTCAGTTTACATATAAGTCTTTATTGCGGAACACTTTTAAAAAGTCTGTATAAATAACGTCTGCCGTTAAACCCTGATTGATGGCATTAGTAACAATACTCCGTGATTCTAACAGGTTTGTCGTGCACCCCCTGTGTTTGGCATCTGCAAAACTTTTCAAGACTCTAGGATGGATTCCGAAAGGGCCTATTGCTTTTGATTATTAAAATATTTTTATCGTTATTGTTACTATTATTATTTCCTTTATATATAAATACAATATCTAGATATTTATGAGAATTTACAAAATCCACAAAAGATTTTATTAATCGAAATGATTTTGGGTGCAGAAGTTGCAAATTCCTAATTTGGGTGCAGAAGTTGCAACTTCCTAAGATTTCGCACTATATGCCTGACTAAAAACAATGATCGAAGAGGGTAGTCATTCGATTTAGCAACTTTTTAAATTAATCTGAGGCAGATGCCTTTAAGATATTTTAAGGGTTGGTTGGAACATGGGCGCTTGTTACATATGATTGCTGCACGTTTCTCTATTGTTGAAAATTTCATGAACTAGCACGTTTCTCTATTGTTGAAAATTTCATGAAGTAGCTAGAAATATTGCTAAAAATGCCGAGCGTAAGCCATATGCGAAAAGATAAGCTTTCTATATTAAATCAGAAGGAATGCCAAAAGATGCCAGGCGATAGATAGCAAACATTTCAGCGCAATATTTCTGATGGATGTTTTTGAAATGAGTGTTCCACTTAAGGTCATTTTGTAAGGTCACACCGAATAGTTTGATTAGGGGTTGGGTTTCGAACTTACTTCCGGCAACAAATATTGGAATAAACTTAAAACCTTCTAAGGAAAAATCAAACAAAAAGAGTTTTTGCGTCGTTGACATTCATTTAATAATAACCAATTAACCAAACTATTGACTTCTTTCTGCGAATTATCGGAGTCATTGCGTCCGACATGATGTAACGGCGAAGTGTCATCAGCGTACAAGTTTAAGAGACTTTTAAGGTTTGTTTAATGACCGACATACTCTTGATTACCAAGGCGAGTAGAAATGGTCCGAGTACACACCCTTGTTGAACTCCACTGGTGGTATTAATCCAAGAAACTAAGCCGAGGAGACACCAGAAACAACGACCTTTTGAGAGCTCTGAAATAAATACGATTTAATCCATATTGAAACAGTGTAGGGTAATTTAAACTCATTTTTAGCTGCAAAGAGGACAGCTAGATGAGAGATTTTGTAAAATGCTTTGTAAAAGTCGATACTAATAAAATGAACATACCCAGCTGAAGTTAAGAGTTTGTTTAAGGTCCAAATAACTACCATTAGCATAAAGTTGGTTGTACTGTTATAAGGACCAGGCACAAAAGCATATTGAGAAGGATTAAACTTATTCTGAAGGTAAGGAATTAACCACTGCTTGGTTAATTCCTGTGCATATTATATATATATATAATAGATGAGTGCAAAAAAAAAAAAAATAATACTAATAATAATAATAATAATAATAATAATAATAATAATATATATATATATATATATATATATATATATATGATTTGATTCTTCCGCTAATCAAGCAAAGTCACGAGGAAACAAATTTATTTTAATGCTGGTGTTAAAAACCGGCGTTTCATTTTAAGAATAGCTTTATTAAGTTGCCAAACATGTCATACACGATTAACAATATTAGTTACATAGCAAACGGAAATAGGTAAAAGTTGGTGAGAGAACACGGAAAACAGATGTCACGCCTTTTATAGTTTACAAATAACAAAAATAAATTGTATTGTATATAACTTGTAACTGTTAATACTCACTAATAAAATATAATAAACAACAAACGAGTAATGCCAAAAAACGCCTTTTAATTTTTCAAATTTATCTCGGCTTTTTTTTGCTGCATCACAGTTTTTGCCAGCACAATTAAACATCAATTTTTTGAAATTTCAATTGTGGGACTTGCTCATTAAAAACAAGACATTATGTTCTCAAATAACTAACATAGGGTTATTCAAACTACAAATTCAGAGTTAAAATAAAAAAAAACAAAAAAAAAACAATAAAAAAGTCCGTGATTTTAATTTACGTATTACTTTACATGATTTTTTCGGTAATGAGAAATGAAATTTTAAATCGTGAAAAAACCTCTAGGAAAAGCGGTACTTAATATTTTGATAGATGTTATTAAAGAGAGATGAAAAGTAGCTATTTTAATGTGGCCATAAAGACATGTAATATTTGTCAAATGGCCATTAAGATGTACAGTTGAACTTTTGTTATTCGAACTCCTATAATTCGAAAGATCATTTAAATCAAACAAATTCTTCAAACCCTTAAAGGTTTAATATTTAGTAATAAACTCTTACAATTCTAACATATTTTGAGACCATTTTAAAATGTAATTTTGATTTTTGTACAAAAATAATTTTTCTAAAAAAAAAAATCTGTCACTATCCGCTTTCGTACTGTAAATACAAAGATGTACTATTAGAGGTTAATTTACTATTAGCCTGTAATAGTCAATTAGGCCCTTCTTTTGTAAAATCTAAAACCAGATATTAACATCATAATTTAATAATAATAATCTACTTACAAATAGAAAAGAATTTATATGTAAAAAAACAAACAAACACGTTTTCAACTAAGATTTAAAATAAACAAATATACATAACATACCAGGAAAAAGATAATGTTTTGAATTAAAAATTAATTACGGTGGAAGAGTAGTTTTAAGTATTTCCATTTGATGATGACTTAAATTTGTTGGAAATTGTATATCAAAAGACACAATTAAGTCAGCTCTTCGATTAGGGTTTTTAGGCAGTGGAAGACCTTCTCCACTAACAATCTTTTTTGTGCTAGGTGTCACATTTTTCATCTCAATATTGATTACTCGATCATCTAATAGTTTTAAAGGGAAATGACACCCTACCAAGGCATCACGCAAAGATATTTTTGCCGTATATAACAAATTGTTATCTTTATCTCTTGTAAAACGATTATGAGGTTTGTCTTTAATAACAAAAACAATATCAGCAGGAGTTTTGTTTAATGATTGGTTACCTTCTTTTGGAAATGTTATTCTAGTCCCCTCTTTCCAACCCTTTTTAACATACACTTCAAGAATCTTTGGTTCTGATCGTTTACTATTTGTCCCAGGGACAATAACATCTCGAGTAATTTTCATTTTTTTACTAACGCCAGTGAGTAATTCTTCAAATGTAACAGGAAGTTGGTGTTCAACAGGCGGGTCTTGTTGCTTCCTTGACAAAGAAGTAAACCCAAAATCATCCATCGCTTGACCTGAGCGAGGAAAGCCTCGTTTTCCTCCAAACATAAAATCTTAAATATAAAATTTTTATTTTATTATATTAGATTACAGTCACTACACGCACATGCATTAGTACATAAATATATTACATTATAGTTAATGCAATACATCGGTAAATTGCTCAAACTTATCATTGACTAAATAACAGACCTGACATTACGATTACTCTCGCGTGTTCAATACACGGGAGGAAAAGTTTATTAATTTTTCGAAAATTTTCCTACCCGCCTCAAGCTTTAATAGATCTGGACTTAAATTCCAAAACCACCCTTTTATTCTCACAACCCCTTGTATTAAACACGCAAGAATACAAAGATAACTTTTAGGGCAAAAAATTCTTAAAAAATAAAAAAAAACCTTGTGATTGGAATTTGGAAAATAAGCTTTCCCAACCTTATTATAAGTTGAGACTTTTTTCAATTTTTACAATAGAAATCATTATTTCATATTCTTTTAAATTTGGTGCAGATTGTATTTTAGGATAAATAAGAATTAAATTAAAACTATAACAATCAAAACATCTAACTGAGGCAACCACCTCAAAATTTAAAATTAACTTTTTCAGATTTTTCAAAATCATTTTAAACTTTTTCAGATTTCCTTTCACACTAACTCACAAACTCAAAATATACTGATTAATCGCCATCGGCACCGGCTTAATCGGCCAGTTTTTGTACGACCGGGATCATTTTTTTTTATTGATTTGTCAATTTTGCAGCTGATTACTTACAAATTATTTTGTTCTACATAAAAATAATATTTTAAATAAATGAAGTTTTATTTTAAATAAACCAAACTCAAACTAAAAAATATTAGGTCTAACACTTGATACATTACATAGGATTTTTTTGAGATATGTTTTATATTGATTTGGTTTGAATACAATTTACTTTTGCTGTTGAACTATTTTTATTTACAAGTAACTTATTTAAATAGTGTTTTCTATATGTATTAATGTATCGCTTTTTCTATTTTTATATGATTGCTGTTTAGCTTAATTACAAATAAATTACAACTTAATAACAAATAAGTGAAGTAATTTAGTTAATAAATTTTGTAATGACGAAAGAAGTGAAATAAAAAAAAGAAACAGTAAAGTTTAGCAAAAACATTTGAAAAATAACTTTTAAAACTGTCAGTATTTCTAGCGCAAATAAGTATTTCTTTATAGTCTAGTTAAATTAGGGTCAGACCTGGACAAAATTTGGATTAAAGATGAATTTGGTATCATTCGAAGCGTAATTTAATCTACTTTAACATATCTAAAATCCACCGAAACCTATTTTGGACAAAAAGAAGTTATGAAAATTTTAGTTCATCTCACTTTGTGGAAAATTTCTGAATAAGAAAAAAAAAACAAAAAAAAAAAAAACTAGAGACCCTGTTGTTAATAAGTTGTAATAATTCATTATAAAAATGCTTAATCTTAATGAAATTTTGCACAAACATTAATGTGTACAGCTTAATGTGTACAAATTATAGAAAATTAATTGGGTTTGAAAATATGTTTAAAATGCTGATGTAAGCAGTTTTTGTGCATTTTGGGCAAAATTTGATATCTTTAACCAAAAAATTTATTAATAAATAGTTGAATTTGAGCCTCGAATAAAACTAACTTGTTTATTAGTTATCTAAAACAAAAAACAAACGTTTTGAGAATATATTTTTTCAAATTATATTTCAATCCACTAAATGTACATTTAACTAATTTTGAATAATTTTTCTTGTAAGGTTAATTATTAGTGCTTTTTACATTCGGCTAATATAATTGGAAATAAAATCAACAGTCAAATATTTTTTCAAAAATGTTTCCGTCTCCATCTTCGCTACTTTCAGAGTCATTTTCGCTGTCATCGATATTTAAGTCGTCATTTTTTGTTGCATTTGTGCACTGCAAACCTTGGCACTGTCCGCAGGCAGTCACGAATTTTATTCGGTGACGTTGACATTGGCATTGTTTTCCACATGGTGTTTTTGTATTTGTGCTGCAGTTAAGGCGGATTTCCATTTACAAGAAATTTTCCGCGGAACAAAACGGAAAAGAAAATTATCCAATCATGCAACAAAAATTGCACAACTTAAATTTTTATGTTACATGATTGGATGATTTTCTTTTCCTTTCCATTCCGCGAAAAATTTCCCGTAAGTGGAAATCCACCTTTACATCTTATGATGTTTAGAATGTGAATTGGTGCAGGATCCTGAATAAAAATACTTAAGCTTAAAAATTAATGAATAATTTTTGGGGTGCTGGGTTACACTTTAAACTATTTATTTAAAAATGAGTATATTTTAAAAATTTTCTATTCTGTTTTGAAATTATAATTGACATTAGTGGTTTAATTTGTTGCATAGGTACCTTGTCTGTCTTTATAGGTACTAAGAAATTTTTTCCATTTTCCATCCCCTTTTTGTTTCATCCAAATCAACACCCAACCATTGCTGAATTTGTAAAAAAATTTCAAAAAAACTGGTTCTTGATCGTATTTTCGGTCGTTGGTAGTCGTTCTGGTTGAATTTCTTTTTTGGAAGTTTACAACATTCTCATATATTTTTGTTTCCTAAGTTGTGCAAGACTTGTTTTTTTTTTCACCTATAAAAATAGTTGAGTTAAATTAAACCTCAGCGAAACAATATGACATTATAATAATAATTATAATAATAACTATAATATTAATGATAAAAATAAAGGACTATGATTAGTGTTTTGCATACCATACATATTCAAAACCACATGCATTCTGATCTTGTGTTGCAAAGGGATCTTGGAAGACTTTATATATATATATTTTGAGCGAACTCACTATTTGATTCAATAAACCTCAGTACAGCTATTTTTCCTTGACCAAAAAGCGTAGAGGTAGTAGCACGTCCACCCCAAGCATGAATAAACAACAAACAATTTTTCACGTGATACAATAGACTTGATGCAACGTTCTTTATACTTATTGTTTCCACATCTTTTTTGATACTCTTCTTAGCTTCGCGGCGCAATAAAAGATTGCACATGATTTGATTCCACATGTGAACCAACATCACGAGAATGCCTGTATCATCAGAAATGATAGTCACACATTTTCTGTTTTGTGCAATTTCGATTCCTTTCATAGCAATTGTTCTGTCAGCGTCCCCTTCGCATTCCACTACAATATGACCTTTTTTTCTCAGCCTCATATCTAATGCTTTTATAAAAGCAGTTTCATTATTGCTGTTTGAAAGAAATACAGATTGCTTGCAGTTGACTTGGTTTTTTGGTTGAAATATAATGTTGGCGAACTTTTTACCTCTCCTTTGATGTTCGTGATCCTTGATGGATGATTTGTAACCATCAAAAACAATGGAAATATGATTACCATACATTTTTGTGATAAATGTACAATATTGTTCCATGATGTTCGAATATGTGGCCGGAAGATTCCAAAAAACTCGATGCAGGAAAGCTCCTCCGTCAAAAATATAGGTTGTGTCATTATTTACTGATAAAATTGTGGAACCCTTGATGAGTTCTCTACCGTGCTCTGCATTGTTAGGTTTCCTCATTAAACAATCTTTGAAGAGAGATGTGGGCTAATGTTAATTCATATTCGAAGAAGTCAGTTAAGTCTTTGGCCCTGTCTATTAGCATGATTAGCCTTTAGAACAAAACATTAGAGTCTACGTGGACTGCATTGCCATTAACTTTGACAGATGGCAGCAACGTGGCAAGTGCTTTGACCTGCTTTGAACGCTTGATAATTACTTGGTTAGCTGCAATATTACTAAGACTTTTTTGAATATCTAAACCAACTAATTCTGCTTGATCACAATTGATTTCATCATCCTTATCAGCACTTAGGTCAGTAAATATACATTGAAGTCTTGAGTATTGAAACTTGAAAGGATTAAATAGCTCGAGCTGTTCCTTTAATGCTTTGAAATCTTTAGTATCTCTTTTTCGACGTGATTCACCAGATTCAAAATGTTGCTGACTGCTCTCAAAACGATGCTTTGTAAGTGTAGACATTGATTCAAGGGTTGCTCCGCAATCGTACAAGGTACTGATCCAAATATTCCTTGTAGTCTCGGACATACCCCTTCCTCTAGTCAAGCTTCCACTATTTCTAAATTTTCAACAAGATTTGTGAACTTTATGATTATACTGCTATTGTTTATATCTTCCAAATCCAAATTTCCTTGTACCAGATCTTGATACATTTTTTCTAGGGAAGAAGTGTCGACTTCACCTTTAGGGACTTGTATAATAAGTAAACTCATCAAGGCGGATTCAACTAAGAAGTGAGCTCTTAGTTGAATCCGCCTTGAAGTGCTCTAGCTACTACTTTACCAGCCATTATATGCATGGTGAGTTGCTTGCATAAATAAATTTGAGTAATCTATTCAGTCCTGATCCCTCCATGATCATACCAATACTTCCTAGAAAGCTCATCAATTTTGGAAATCCTCCCAATCGAATAACTATATCTAATTGCTTTGATTTTTCAATTTGTAAGCTTTTAAATATAATATCTGATCAAAGGTTACACTTAGAGTAGGTAATTTCATTGATTTTGCTTGGTTTTGTATAAAAACTAGTGTAGAATAAATGCAGTTTTCATCAGATGGGTTTAAATTAATGATAGGCACCATGAATACCTGACTTTTTCCAGGATGACTTTTACCATTTTGATGAAGTTGCATAAATCTGTCCCACTGTGCCCGGTTTTCACCGGCAGTTAAAATGAACAAAACTTGCCAGTAAAGGTCCACACCGAGAGACAATGAAAAAGTCTGTGATGACTGAAGCTCAGCAATGGACTTGAAGAGTATCTTTGTTAATGCAGCTGTGCCAGGAACGTTGTACCACAAAATCGGAATACTTATTTTAGATACTATTTCTGCTGCTTTTAAACTACAGCTTATTCTTTTAATTCAACGTTGATTATCCAAAATTTTAGAGTTTATCATCTCAGCAGCGATGATGCCCATTCCATGAAAAGTGTCTTTACCATTCAATGTGCAGACATTATGATAAACATTGTCTGCCACCATTGAGTAAATAATCTATCCATCACTCCTTCAATATAGCTATAGTTGTTAGCCATAACAGAGTGTTTGAAACATGTTAATTCTGATGGACTTATGCAAAATCCTAGTTTAAATAGTTCATTTGTTAACGATTTCGATCCAAACTTGTGGTCTAGTTCTATTCCTAATCCAAAAGGCAGAGGCGGCACATAACATCGCAATCAAATAACTTTTGTTATAGTTTGACCAATAGAAGATTGTTTTAATTCATCTGATGTAATTTGTTTCATAAAGAGGCAAAGCAATGGGTCCAAACTTTCTTCATGATGCTCAATATCGTATTTAGATATGCTCAATATCGTATTTAGTAATTCTCTGTATTGAATTTAAGATTTTTGCTTTTATCAACTTAGCCACGGTTTTAATGATAACTTATTCTTTGTTTGCATCTTTGCTTTCCATCTTTTTTCAATAATAAACATAGCTGCATCTTTAAAGCATACTAAATTGGATTTTCCTTCAGTTTGGCTAATAATTATGTCATCTTTACACTTTTTTTCTAATTTTCTCTTTAGGTGCTTCATTGAATAAATCTCTTCAGAACTTGCTAACTCTTCCTTTCCTGGATTATTATTGTGCAATTCAGAAGTTGTCACAGGAACCAGGAACCATTTGACTCTCAAACCACCCAAAAAGCCTTTCAAAGTTGTCCGCCATTGTTGAATTTTCTTTGCAACCAGACTTTTCTGTTTCACTCAAATTTGTCCTGAAAATAAGTTAGGATTTTTTTGAGAATATGAAACATTAATATAGACGTGACATAAAGTTCAGTCAGAATTGGTCATTACATTACATTTTCTGTATTTGGTAATCGCTTATTAACAACAGCACAAAATATTAACACATTATTATTACAAGAAGAAAGAAATCAATTCGAATATATTTGAATTGAAACATACTCATTGTTAGTTGAAAATAACTTGTAACATTCAAAGTGATATATAGAATCACTTGCAACCAGGTCAACACAACAATTTAAACGAGATTTTAAATCAAGTGCCCATTTGTCTTTTCTTCCTTCACATACTTAAGCATACTTTGTTTGAATTTTATTGTGCACATTTGTTTTACAGTTTCACGATCACGATGTCTAGGATCAGGTAATGCTAGGTTCCCGCAAATTAAGCAGCATTGCTTAATTAACTACTTTAAACATGGGCAAACAAGGTGCGTGACTGCACACGCTCCCTAAGAAGGCTTAGTAAGGTATAACTTTCTACTTTCAAGGTAAAAAATTATACTTTGAATGTAGAAAATTATATGACAAATAATTATTTGTAATATAATTTTCTACCTAAGAAGGTTGAAAATACTTATACAAGCATTTATTTAGTATTTTCAACCTTCTTAGGTAGAAAATACTTAATAAATTTATTTATTTACTTAATTAACTTATTTATTATACTTTATTAAGCATTTATCACATATCCTACCCTAAGCTAGAAATTTCTGCTTTTTTATAGAGTACATATTTATATGTAACATAAAGAAATAGCAAAAAATGAGTTAGAACTTAACAAAGAAAGCAAAAGGAAAGCAGAAAACAAAAAAAATGTTTTCAAAATAAAAATTAAGCCATATAAAGCAATTTCCTCAATATAGTCCCAACAAACATTGTTTAAGATACATGAGTGGTCTAAGTTATTTCATAACTATATTGCAGAAATTATTGCAGTTGATATTCAGCTAATTTCTATAGTAGATCTTCGGTTTTAAAGATTGCTGCATATATCCTAACTAATGCATTCCAAGTAAAAAACACATTTAAAATTCTGTAATTATTGTATATATTTTGTAAATAATTTATTTCAAAATATATACAACAAAGTTAGACAAAAAATGAAAAATACACTGAATGATGCTTCATCCATTTCATTTTTAACTGACACTACCAATGAAAAATGCTTATTTCTTAGCTTGACAGCTCATTGGTTAACCAATTACTTCAAAAACCAGTAAAAGTTTGAGTTAGTCAACTTAATACACATACTGCCAAAAATGTATATAAAGCAATTTAAAGTTCAACTTCTAGCTGCTAGGGATAATGTAGGTAATATGGTAGCTGGAACAATGCTGAAGCAGGTTACAAAAGTTTGCTGTACTTTTTACACACTATGCAACTTTTGATGAATGATGTTTTGTTTGATTTTGTTGTTGTATTTCCTCAGATTAAAATATATCAATAACTCAAACAACAACATAGTAACTCATTTTTAATCTCTGCCTTCTTTTAAAACTTTTTGAAAATATCAAGCTCACGATCAAGTGCCTGAATACAGGTTTAAACAAGACATCTTGTCATCACCAAAGCCAACTTTTTTGATTGCTCCATGAAGAAATAGGTAGACTCCAGGAACAGCAGATATTATTATGTTTTTATATTACAATTTGTGCGCTCACAAATGTCAATTATTAAACATTTATTGATTTATTATTATTTCATTAATTAAAACCTAATATTTTTCTTTGTTAGTTTGTGTCTTACTTTACTTTAAGAAAGTTTTATTTTTAATATAATATAATTATTATATTATAATTTGAGAAAATTATAAATATTTTGTGTTATAAATATTTATAGTTATTGTTTATAGTTATATAATTTATAATTATATAATTATTTTGTGTTATAAATATTATAAATATTGCGTTATAAATATTTTGTTTGTTTTTAAAATTGAAATAAAAAACATTAATTTTTATAAAATGTTATTTATTTTTAAAATATCATATTTTACATCTTTAAAAATAAGTGTTTGAATCAGGTTTAGGTATTACCAGGTATTATCATTGTTGTTTACCTAGTCCGATCAGTTAACAGTTCAATACACATATAACAATCAAGGATATTTACAAATAATGTGAAACTAATTTAAAGTAAAAACCTGATGAAAATGATACCAAATAATATTAATGATACAAATAGTAATAATAATATTAAAAATAATAATAAAAACAATAATAACGGTAAAAATAACAGTGATAATGATAAGAATAATAATAATGATTTAATATGATCATTATTAGATTTCTAAACAAAAACTGAATATTATATACACAAATAAGAAAACTTACAAAAAGTTAAAAACTGACATAAAGTAACAACTTACTGTGAGATGAAAAACAGTTATCATAAAGAAACTGACAATGATTATTAATATTTATAATATTTAATCAAAATGAAAACTATATAAGTAGTATAGTAATATGATATAATAAGAATAACAAATAATAATAACAAAATTCAAACAAAAAACTACAAACAAAAACTGAACTTATAAAAAATAAGATAAATTTAAAAACTAAAACAATAACGACACTAATAATAACTAAAAGATTAAAAATTAAGTAAACAGATAAAAACAGCAGCAATACAAGAAACTCTTGCAGAGTAGTAAAAGAAAGTAAAAAAAAAAATGTTGAAATAAATAGATTAGTATTTGTTTTTTTACATACTATTAATAAAGTTAAAAACAAATAGAAAAAATAAATTTTAAATACCAATAGCAATGATAATAATATTAACAATAATAATAGCAATAATATTAATAAATTAAGCAACAATTATTACAATAATAAAGTAATTACATAATATTAAAAAGTCAATATTAGTTTTCAAACAACAATTTAATATATAAGTACAGACAGGGAAAGTTACAAGCAGTATATACTGACAAAACATAACAGCCTACCGCCTGATACAAAAATATATAATATATAATACAGGGTTGCTACTATAATTTTTAAAGCTTTTCCCTGAGTTTTCCCAGAGTAAAGAACGTTTTTTCCTGAGTTGAACTCTTTAAGTTCCCTGACTTTTCCCTGACTTTTCTATATTCTTTCCTGTTCATCAACGAGATTATTTAATTGAATTCTAGATTATATAATAGATTCCTTAATTGAACACAATCTTTATATTTGACAAACTAAAACTTTTACAACACCCACATCTTGCAAACTTATTATTATATGTATTAACAAATTATTTTTGAAAAAAAAATTATTGTACAAAATTTCAAAAATATGTTGTAAAAAGTGTAGCATAATTTATGCTACACTTTCTACAGCATATTTATAATTAATGCAATTATAGTTTTTTTTACTATTTAAGAAACCAAATATTAAAAGCTGTACTTTTGAAAGTAAATTATAATTGTTTCCACTATGTAAAAGTTGATCAAATATTTTATTGTCCAATTGATAAGATAAAATTTATTTGTAGGATTAATAAGAAAGACAACATATATCCTAAGGATTTCGTCTTTAATTGAAAAAAGTACTTTGTCACAAAACATTTATATTCAACCTAAATATATATGTTTAAGCTTTAAATGAATATAAATCTTGAATCTTGAATATAGGTAATCATAAAAAAATAATCCTACCTTTAAAAGGATCTTCATCACCAAAGAAATTTTTGAATGTATCAAATGGATCGAAATGGCTTGAATCAAATGTAAATGAAGTGGCACCAGCAGGAAACCCAGAAAACTCAGCACCACCTCCTCCACTACTACCAATGCCGCCTTTGAGCCCTTCTTCACCATACTTATCGTATACAGCGCGTTTATTTGAATCATTTAAAACCTTAGAATATAAAAAACAAATTTTAGAACTAAAGTAAAATTGAAAAATTTGAAAAAAACTAATCAAATAGATTTAAATTAGTCAAATACAAAATTAATTTAATAATGAAACTATTTCTTTCTAAAATTAAGTTAATAATGAAATTATTTGTTGTTTCTAAAATTAATTTAATAACAAAATTATTTGTTTAAATAATATAGTTAAACTAATAAAGTTAAAAGTAAAAATAGCATACACTGAATCTTAAAACATTTTAAAAATCAAAACTAGATAACTATTCATAGACTTTTATAAAAAATCTTTGCTGATATTTGTATATGAAATCATCAGATTACCTCGCTCAGTGCTAAAAATAATTATTTAAAGATTGGCAATTAACATAAATTGGCTAAAATAAATAAAAAAATGAAATGAAAAAAAGTAAAGTAAAAAATCATTTTTCGGACAAACTTTCAGAATATTTTAAAGTTATAAAGTTAAATAAATTAAAAAAAAAAAAAAAAAACATAAAAGGATGTATGGTATAGGGGAGTCAAGGGTAGAGTGACCTTTTATGTATACGCATGCCACTCTTTATACACTGGCCCTGAGTAAGGCAGATTTAGGAAAGCCCTTTTTTGCCGCTAAAAAAAATCCTCCTTATATTTGCAAAAGAGCTTCTAAACTTGCCCCCCCCCCCTTATTGGGGTCTGGGGTAACCTAGTCTTGGATCTGGGTTTTAGGTTTTGTATGTAATATTACTAATCTTGTGCAAGATTCTTTTTTATTAGGGGTGGTAGATTAATCGGTATTTCAAATTAATTGATTAACAATTAACTTTTGAAAAATTAATTGATTAATCAAATAATTTTGATTAATTTTTACAAATGAACTCTTCATACAGTATAAAAAAAGTAAATACAACTTCTTATGATTTTATTTCTCTTTTTTCATCAGATCGTAAAAACATAAGTTATTAACAGTGTCATCATTTAAACTAGTTCTTAGCTTAGTAATAAATAAACCTGCAGCACTAAAACTTCTTTCTACTTCTAGAAAAGATAGTGGAAGGCTAAGCATGGCCTTGTATACTTTTTCTAAGAAATTTGGCATTTTCCAGTGCTTTTAAGTACTGCCAGAGCTCCTTTAATAAAAGTCTCTCGAGGGGATGACTTATGATCTAGTCCTTTATTTCTTACTGTTGAAGTTTTGATATCATTTTTGCTAATTCTTCAGCTTAAGTTTTTTTCTTATTGGTTCTACATCGCAAGTAGATTTAATGTCAGACTCAGGTGCTGCTTCTACTTCTTTGTGTAGAAACAAACCTATGAAAACATCTTGAGCTAATTTAGCAATTTCATTTTATTTGGGTATTTTAAAAGATTACCTGGTAAGTCTGAATCTGATTTAAAGTCATTTGGATTATGCAAATAGCATAGAAAATCAGCATTAACATAATTTCTTCTTTCAGTAATTCTCTCAGAGACTACATTTAATAGTTTTTGACCAATTTTAGCATTTTATTCTCTAAGATTTTGTAGTAAAAACAAAATAATTTAACCAGATTTTATTAGATAACAGTCTTTCTTTCCCAATGCCATAACACTTAACTCTACAACATGAAAAGCCTGAGCAACATCAGAAATTTGTTTTATTTCTTCTTCTGATAAAATCAAATCTATTCTGAATATATCTACAAGAGCTTTTCCAATAAAATTTTTTGATTCCAAAACTTGTTTTAACATACTGATTAGAGAATTCCATCTTGTTTTAGTATCCAAAATTGGCCTAAGCTCTTTTCCAAAATAGGATCTACAAATGTTTTGAAGGGTATCATTTTTAAGTGGCAATTTTTTAAACAGTTTGACAGTTTTACAAACCTTCATCTTTTGCAAGATGAATTCCATGGCAATAGCAGAGTTGGTGGATAACTTATATTTCTCGTGCCACATTTTTCATGAATGATGCACCATCAGTAACACACCCGAAGATATCATTGATCATATTTATGCCAAAATCATTTAACTTTTCAATAACAATATTAACTGCTCTTTCTGAAGACCATAATAAAATTTGTCTGAGCAATGTGAGACACAATGGTATTTGTGTCTCAAAAATTGAGACACAAATACCTTCTAGTTACACCTGAAGTCCACTCATCAAGAGAAAAATCCTCCATTTCTCCAGCTATCTTTCTTTGCTGAAACTCTTGAGAAATTTTTAATTTTATTAAGTTTGCGTAGTTCATAACAGTTGCCTTTATAGGATGTCATTCATCTGGGATTTTAAGTCCTTGAGCTTTCCAGCCATTTTTATTATCTTTACTATTGGCCAAAGTTGTAAAAGAAATACGATCTACAGCAGTTAAACGAGCTTATACTTCTTCAGCTTTGTTACCTATTTTATTACAGTAGGCAACAACACTTGGCTGTGTATTTTTTGTCTTTTTAGAAACAGTTTTGGTCAGAAAAATATTATGTTTGTGGTCTAAATGATATAAAAAACTTTAAGTCGATGAATAGAATTTAATTTCGACTTAACAATGTTTGCATTTGTATGATTTCGCTTTGTTTTCCAATCAAAAATGCCCTCCAAACATCAAAACCACTTTTTCCAGACGAAGTTGTAAATAACGTTCAGGCTTCTCTACTACCGCGTGGTGTTAATTGTTTACATTTTTTTACTGGTACCAGAAAAGTGAAAATAGTTGTTACTGTTTCTTAATAAATACTATTTTGTTATTATAATAACAGAGTGTTAACAAAAAAATAATATAACACTTATAGCATTTTAAACCAAAAAATTAATCAAATAATTGTTTGTTAATTAATTGATCAACAATTAATTTTTGTTAATCGATCAATCGTTAACTTTACCACCCCTAGTTTTTATGAACTTACTAAAGAGAGGGTGCCTGAAAAAAACATTCGCTCTAAGTAAAGTTTACTTTTATTTGATTTATCATTAAAACAAATTTTTTTAAAAATAAAAATTAAATTATGATTAGACTGATTCGATTTCAGCATGTTATTTAACTTTATTTAAAATAATTATTTGCTACATATATATATTAACACTAAATTAAAAAAACTTTTGAATAATAAAATAACTTTAGGGGTCGCTAAAGATCCTTAAACATCAAACGGATCCCTACCATTTTGAAAAAAAGTTCTTTAAAACTACATCATGTTGGGTCTCAAAAGAAGTGAAATTTTATAAAAACTTTAAAAATTATAAACATAATTTATGAAAACACAAATTAAAAAAGTTTATTTAAAAAAAAAAACTTTGAAAAAATGTACTTTTTATTTTTTGATAAAAATTGATTTTTTTAAGCCATAAAATTTGATAATCTTTATATAAAATTATTATTACTTTTAAAATTTTTATAAAATTTCACTTCTTTTAAGACCCAACATGATATACTTTTGAAGAACTCTTTGTCAAAAAAAGTTGTTTTTAGAGGCACTCTAATATATATATATATATATATATATATATATATATATATATATATATATATATATATATATATATATATATATATATATATATATATATATATATATATATATATATATATATATATATATATATATATATATATATATATATATATATATATATATTATATATATATATATATATACATATATATATATATACATATATATATATATATATATATATATATATATATATATATATATATATATATATATATATATATATATATATATATATATATATATACATACACATATATATGTATATATATATATATATATATATATATATATATATATATATATATATCTTTAAAAGTCATTTCTTGTTATACGATATATATATATATATATATATATATATATATATATATATATATATATATATATATATATATATATATATATTTAATATGTAAGTTGATTTTAATAAAAAAGGCAGCGTATAACTATTTTTAAATATATTTTGATGTGAAAATATATCAACGATATTTCGCTGACCTATTGTGGTCAGCGTCATCAGGTAATAATAAAAAACGTTACAAAATAACATAAAAACAAACCGTTTAAAAAGAAGACATTAAAAAGCGTCAAATATAAAAACCAATTAAATATAATAATGACGTCAGTTAAATTTTTGTCAAAATGGGTCCCCAAGTTCTTGTTTTAATCTTATCCCCGTCATCTCGATTTAGAACACCTTCCCCAATACCTATCTCACATCAAACTTTTGCTTTGTTAATCTCCAGAGATTCTCTAATTTTTCGTATCTTGTATTCTTGAACGACTGCCAAGGTCTTAGGATTTAGCCAATCAAAGTTACCATGGCATGTTTTGGAATGTTCCGTGGCTCCTGAACTCGACCATTTTTGATTTTTGCAAGCTCTTTGGTGTTCTGCACTTCTTGAAATGATTTTCTTTTTGGTCTCACCAATATATATATTTCCGCATGAGCATTTAAGTTGGTAAACCCCCGGATTTGAGTTCGGAGGTAGTTTAGTTTTGTTGTTGCATAATATATTACTTAAACTAGGAGCTGAAGTAAATATAACTCTGATGTTTTGTTTTTTAAATTCTCTTCGGAGTTTTGGGCCAATAATAGGTATCCAAGGTAGTTTAACAAACTTTTGATCTAACTGATTAGATGTAGTATTTTTTGAAATGCCGTCTAAATAGTTATATGTGTCATCTAAATTTCAATTCACTACTAAATTTCAAAATGTCATCTAAATTTCAAATTCACTACTAAATTTCAAAAGCTATTATGTAAATTAAGAAAACAAGGTAAGTTAGACAATGCTACTTATTTTAAAATATATCCATCAGATTGCGTTCCACCTAGAATCTATGGAATGGTTAAAGCACACAAACCGGAAAAAAACTACCCAATGCGTCCTGTTGTTTCCACTATTAACACACCTCCTTATGGAACATCTGAGTATCTGGTTAAAATTATCCAACCAACATTAAACAAAAACATAACTCGACTAATTAATTCAAGAAACTTTGTCAACG